AATAACATTAAAAAATTTAACTTCTATTAGATGGCAAGCAAATTTTGAGATTTTGCTTACCAGAGAAAGGGAGAGTGCAGGAGATGCAAAGTCTTTGTTCATTGTTGCTCAGTCTCTTTTTTTCTCAAGGGGGGAATGAAGTGATGCAGAAGAGAATTAAGCACAGGGTGAACATGTGCAATAAAGGATACAAAACAAAGAGGGGGATGGAGATAAAAAAGGAGATGGAAGGCCGTTAGGTATTGAAAGTTAGTTATTTCATACATGCAGAGCGTTCAGGGTTAGACACCAGCTACAAAAGCTTCATGGCTGAGCAGAAAGTTACACGTGGCTTTCGAAATTTGAGCGTTACTGTCACTCTCATGGCTCCTGAGCATGGCCACAATATTGATTCACATGTTGCCATAAACATTAGTACTTTTTTGGCTGAACTCTCTTGGGGTTAATTTCTTATGACAGTTACCTGCTTGGATAAATTCCTAGTGGCTTAAGAATTTACAATTTTCAGTGAGAGGTAGTCATCAATCTTTCACTTCTGTGTCTATTCCTGTATTGGACTGATCTACAATAGATTTATGTTAGTTGTTGTTGTGCGCAGCGGAAATTTCGGCAGCACCTCTGGTGCGCAAGGTGCACAACAAGAGATTAGATCACAACGGAATTCTCGCTTCTCAAAGGAAACAAGAACCAAAAGCCAGATATCTCATCAAAGTGAGATATCAGCTCTTCCTCTCGTCAGCTCTAGGACTGCGCGTCGAGGGTCCTCTCGTCAGCTCTAGGACTGCGCGTCGAGGGTCCTCTCGTCAGCTCTAGGACTGCGCGTCGAGGGTCCTCTCGTCAGCTCTAGGACTGCGCGTCGAGGGTCCTCTCGTCAGCTCTAGGACTGCGCGTCGAGGGTCCTCTCGTCAGCTCTAGGACTGCGCGTCGAGGGATCCTACAAGCTATTACAAATCACGGCAAGAACACAAATTTTACGTGGTTCGGCAAATTGCCTACGTCCACGGGGCAAGGAGGGGGGAGATCTACTATTAGAGGGAGAGATACAATTGGGGTTTACAATCTCACAAATTTAAACCCTCTCAAACAAACTCTCAGATCCCTCACACAAAATCTCTCTCAAAGGGGGATGCACAAAACTCTCAAAGTCGACACTGCGTTTTCTCCCTGCCTGCGCACTGCCAAAGCACGCCTTCTGTAAACTTTGCTTTGCTTGCGCCTGCACACAGCACACAACCGACTTTTATTTTGTTTTGCTCACAAATCCACCGCCTCACGCTCACACGCCCTCGTTTACACGAAGCCGCCGCCAAAACCAACTTTCCCACCTCCTGCACTCTTTTTCGCCCAACCCTAGGCTAACAATCTTTGTTCCTTTAAATAGTCTGACAGTGACTCGGGTGGGCCTTCGTTCACATCCACGAAAAAGAAAAGTAGCTGCAATACATGTACATGATTCACATGTACATCGGGTGGGCCAGGGGTTTAGTGGAGATTCAATTGGTGGGTGTGGCTCCCCCACACGTCCACGTTCACAATTCTCCACCTCGGTGAAGTTTTCTCAAAACTGAGCCGACACTAACCATATCAAATGCCTCACTTGTTGCATCCAGTACGCCATGGCAACGGACTCATGACAATGGACTCCATCCACAACAGATCGAGACCCAAACGAGAGTGTGAACACTCAACCCAAACCAAATAGTGTCTACTCACCAAATCAAACTGAGCCTACACCGACTACACCAAATGCCTCACTTGCTGAGACCTTAATGGGAGTGCAAACACTCACCCTAAATGTCGATGTCACTCACCAAATCAATCTCACCCCCCATCAACTAATCCAAAACCCGGCTGCATCATAAAGACTGCCTACGTATCCTCTTGCCCAAGGAATCAAGCCTCACGTAGTTCATCCAAATGGCCTCCAAAGGCCCTTAATCAAATAGAAAAGTCTGCAACTCTTCTCCAATATCACCAAACGATCTGCAACTGATAGCACTCCCAATGGCCCCAAATTGAGACAAATCAAACACCTCCATCTGAGGTGAACCAATGACCGTATCCAAATTAAGTCCATCAGCTGCAATTGAATCCAACTCATCATCTGCATCCAAATCCAAATGATCTCCAATCTGTGTCACCTCAGCTGGAATCCCAAATGATGCAGTATGATCTGGAGTCTCCACCCAACGTGGAGTAGCATCACTCTCCACCCGCTGCGATGTCCCAAAGATCTGATCACCACTCTCCACCTGCCGAGAGTCAAACGTGACATACCTGCTCAGAACAAAGTCAGAAGCCAATACCTGATAATCAAACACGCCTCTGAATCCCAAATGTGCTATCGGATCAAATCTCACATCCACGATGTGACCAAGTGCTGGGTAGCCAAACATCCGACGCAACCCAAAATCTGTAGCAGCTCCACCAGATCCAAAATCTCTACATGCAGCAGTTGGCAACCTATACATGAGATGGCCTAAACATGTCGTAGCCTGCACACCAATGCCAATGCTCGACATCAAATACCGATCCTCCTCCAGAAAGGAACAGCTTCCCAAATCTGTCATCTCGCCTCGTTGCCTCAAAGTTTCCATACCAATGAAGTGTCTCCTATTACCGTGAGCTCGGCACAAATGCAGATATAGGTCCCTCTTGTACCTCCCTCTAACATCAGACTGAAGTACATTCACCTTTCTGCCAATACACTTCCTTAATTTGTTGCGGGCTTCTAGGACTTCACACCAACGGGACTTGGTTGCAACCCACCAATGCCTAGAGCAATCCCCAACTGCGGAAACCACATACCTATTACCTCCCAATAATGCTCCCTTGGAAGGCCCCCGAATGCCTGAATGAACACCCCTCAGAAGACCCCTCGAATTATGGATAAAAGTGCCAAAATCCACCTCGGTCTTCTCGCTCATACTAATGGTTTCACAGGACTTCAAATTGCAGGTCAAAGCACTCATCAATTACAATGTTAATTATGTGACTTTAAATTATATTCTCATGTCATGATTTTAGAAATCTCAAGAAATAAGAAATAAAATCTCTATAGCAGAATTACAATTTTAATTACCCCCCAAAATTACTATAAGAAGTGGGACTTATTCCCCATTCATTCATTTTTTTTCACCATCCTTGCTAACTTATTATATACTACTATATAGATACCTAGAATAAAGATAATATTTTACTTTTTAAATAATACTCTAGCAGGAAAATCACTAAAATTCGAGGTCTACTAATTAAGGTGACAAGTAAAAATGCTAGAGATTGACAGAATAAAAAAGTCTTCTATTAATTTTTTACAAGCATAGAATTAGTTTTTTGTGGTCGAGTGTTATTTTCATGGGCCAAAAACTTGAACATAGCGATTTTTATACTTTGACATGTCATTGCAGACTAAGCATCCTTTTTACGGGCTGAAAATTCAAACTTAAAAAGTAGCATTAATATTTTTCTCAAATCCGCTTTAAAAACATCATTAATGGTATTTAATTAAACTCGGACCGCTCTGATACCATATCACCCATCCGCTATCCCAAGACTCGGAAGATCATAATTTTATACTCTTAACAATAACATAGGCTAGCTTTATACACATCTTGTGTATAGGTTGAAAATTATATTCTCATGAAATAATTTTATACAATGTACATACAAAAATCTCCTAAGTGGAGGAATGAACTAGCAATTTAAGCTTTTATGTTCATCCTTATCCACAAACTGTTTCCAAAGGATACCCATCTTGTTCCAACAACCAATCTATTAGACTAATTACACACACACTATGATGACAATGGGGGAAAAAGTGATCTTTCAAAAGCTTTTGAGGAGAAGGGAAATAAATAAATTAAGAAAGCATACATAAAATTAATATATATATTTACGAGCAAAAATTAAATAATCCTTTCTCTTGCACCAAATGCACCGATATTCCACCGACACAAATCTTTTACTTTGGGGGGTCGGCGATCTTCATGTGTTGGCGTTCTTTGTCCTAAGCTGTCCACGTGTACTCCATACAAATTGGATGTAGGAAAATATATTCTCTATGAAACTTTAGTTGTACCGTTGTTGTTATTATTGCCATTTGTTTAGGGCGAAGACTTTTATCCTCTCTATGGTTTGGATCCTCTTCAACCTTCAATGGCGTAGCTCATGCTTTTGTGATTGGTGATAATTAAGAAAACCATGATTAAGACTAACACTCTCTAATAAAAATTAACATGTTTAAATTCTTAAAGGGAATGCCTCGAAGGCAAAAGGGTACGGAGAGGCATTATTATTTAACCCATCATCCTTATCCACGCTATAGGGTTTATAGTGGACTTGAGAAATATTTCTAAAGTTCTAATCAATTGCAGAGAAATTAATCATGCAAACTGGTGTTGTGCGCAGCGGAAATTTCGGCAGCACCTCTGGTGCGCAAGGTGCACAACAAGAGATTAGATCACAACGGAATTCTCGCTTCTCAAAGGAAACAAGAACCAAAAGCCAGATATCTCATCAAAGTGAGATATCAGCTCTTCCTCTCGTCAGCTCTAGGACTGCGCGTCGAGGGTCCTCTCGTCAGCTCTAGGACTGCGAGTCGAGGGACACCAAGGAAACAAGAATCTGAAGCAAAATATCTCAACCAAGTGAGATATCAGCTCTTCCTCTCATCAGTTCTAGGGACTGCGCGTCGAGGGATCCTACAAGCTATTACAAATCACGGCAAGAACACAAATTTTACGTGGTTCGGCAAATTGCCTACGTCCACGGGGCAAGGAGGGGGGAGATCTACTATTAGAGGGAGAGATACAATTGGGGTTTACAATCTCACAAATTTAAACCCTCTCAAACAAACTCTCAGATCCCTCACACAAAATCTCTCTCAAAGGGGGATGCACAAAACTCTCAAAGTCGACACTGCGTTTTCTCCCTGCCTGCGCACTGCCAAAGCACGCCTTCTGTAAACTTTGCTTTGCTTGCGCCTGCACACAGCACACAACCGACTTTTATTTTGTTTTGCTCACAAATCCACCGCCTCACGCTCACACGCCCTCGTTTACACGAAGCCGCCGCCAAAACCAACTTTCCCACCTCCTGCACTCTTTTTCGCCCAACCCTAGGCTAACAATCTTTGTTCCTTTAAATAGTCTGACAGTGACTCGGGTGGGCCTTCGTTCACATCCACGAAAAAGAAAAGTAGCTGCAATACATGTACATGATTCACATGTACATCGGGTGGGCCAGGGGTTTAGTGGAGATTCAATTGGTGGGTGTGGCTCCCCCACACGTCCACGTTCACAGTTGTTACTACTAATCGATCTTCTTTGCCTTATCATGAACGGATGAATTATTTAGGTCATCTTTCGGCGACTAACAGGTATGATTGGTTGTTCAGAGTTATCGTCGCTTAGTTTTATCTCTTTTTATTCCCACAGTAATAAATTTTGTGTTGTGATGACTCTTTTCTATTATAAATTTCAGTTTCTTGATTTAGTCATTGATTATTTTATCTATTATTTGGATAAGTTAAAAAGCCTGACTAAGTGTTCAGAAATTGAGAACTGTCTTTCTTTCTATGTTCGAGTCCTCTTCATGGCGCTGAAAGACATAAATTTGACTATTGAAACCTGACCCGAGTTTTTGAAATATACATCCCCGCATGAAAATCATTGGAAGTTTTCATAATTATCCTGAGAAATGATATCAGCTTTGGAAAGGTAGACGCATAAACAATGACACGGAGAGAAATAGCATTAGGCCATTGGCATTCATTTCCACCGTTCTTTTCCAAAAACATAGAAACCCATTACCCCCTACTCCTTTTTAAGTTCGTGCCGATGTTTTTTCACCCGTTGGAGATTTAAATTAAGAAAGTAATTCACACTGTTACTTTCCCTTGCAACTGAGCCTGAGGTAGTAATTAAGGATCCATGGAGAGGAAATGCTTAAGAGACAAAAGTCAGTCAGTAGTTTACTGTAACGGATCAATGCGTAGAAGCAAAGGGAAACAGTGAATTAAAGGTACTGGGGATTGACAGTGACGCGCATAGATCGACCATTTCTTTGAAGTGAAGGCAAAATGCAAACTGTATTCTGCAGAGAAGGAGTTAACAGTATCGGTGGAGATTGGCTACGTGGCCTGAACTGTGCCAATTAATGCCCCACCTAATGAAGGATAAGATGATTCCTGCCAAGAAACTGAGGCGCATTTCTGAATACTTGTTGAAGTAAATTTTAGATGAAAGACCTTAAATTTTAACTGGCTAAAAAGTTGGGGGCAGGACTAACTTTCTATTTATCTTTCCTTTTTTTTTAAAAACACAGTTTTAGTTAACTTCTTCATAAATCTTTGGTTTTTGCATTAAGTAATCAGTAATATATATGAGAAAAGTGTTCCTAAGGTGACGCCTTAGATAATCATCTAAGGACGCGGCCTAAAATCACATGATTGAGCTACATTATGGATGATCCGCTCCGTTAAATTTGATCTACATATTCTAAAACCCCAATACGCCAAGTTTGGGGTGAACTCATCGTCGTTTGATCCTCCGTTGAGCCATGTGAACAGTTCTATTTATTCGAAACCGTTAAAATTGATACGAGTGGATGAAGGGTCGAACGACGACGGGTTCACCCCAAACTTGGTGTGTTGGAGTTTTAGAATATGTAGATCAAGTTCAATGAAGCGGATCATCCATAATGCAGCTTAATTAATCATGTGATTTTAGGCCGCGTCCTTAGATAATTATATAAGGCATCACCTTAGGAACACTTCTCCCAGTACACTCACACACACTTCTGGTCATTTTTTATTTGGAAGGGTGGGGAACTTCATTCAAATTATTGAATCTATACACACACACACTGCTGGATATTAACCTACCAGTCTTTGGTTACCCCTTGACAACCATTAGCTGCTTTTATTGAGCCATAACGGAGCGGTCCAGGAGCCCTTAATGGAAGAACATCAAAACTTACACCTAAAACTATTAAATGCATCAAACTTTCTCTGATAGCTTTCGACCAGTCTTTTGAATCACAACAATTGCCAATTTACTCATTATTTCCTCGCAAATATGCCTATCTTTCGTTTTTCCATCATTGGAAGCGCGCGTATCAATACTTGATATCATGTATATTCAGCTGTTCTTATACAATAATTTGGAAAGATGGGATTCTAAGCCTGATAAAGAAACAAATCGATTCAAAGGGAACTTAAATAGTAAAACAGAGAAACCAGCTGAAGTGATTCAGTGAACTAAGGGAGAGCTAGGGAGGAAAAAAAACAAACTGTCAACTTAGAAACTTCTTGACTTCTCAAAGTTTCTTACTTGAACTTGGTGGTCGATAGGAATGGTAGACGGGATGCATGGCTGTAAATCAACTGACCTTTCATGAGTTGCTCATTAGGTTTCGTCGATGGATGCCACCAACCAAAAAATATGTATCCTCAGTGATGGTTTTGTGTGGCTAGCCAAGTTTTATCTTCAATCACTAGAACTTTTTGTCTATGAATACCATATTGAATAAAAACTATAATTTCAGGCTCCCCGCAACTTGCTTCATGCTAAAGCATTACTCCTAAAAATATTCAAGGCTACAAGGGTAAGGGTACGAATTCTGTCAGCGCGTCCACGTAGGAGCAGGGTGTTCTCGCAATTCTCAGCGGTAGGATAGGGGCGAATTGGAGATTTCATTGTCCCCTCTCGTATGGTTTAGATCAACGGCGAAGTCAGGATTTTGTCTCGGTTGTGTCCCTATATAACTTACGAGTTTATTGAAATAGGCAACTCCGAGAATTATCCTCGCTAGTGGTGTCTTGTCCTGATTCCAACAGCGCCCTAAGTAATAAATACACATAAAAATAACTAAAATAATTTTTTGAAGTAAGCAATCCAGTGATGCCCTGTGACACCGCTGGACGTTATGTAGCTCCGCCACATACATAAGAAGGAAGTAATAACTAAGATCCTAGGCCTTCTGAACATTCCATGAACTCAAGGCTGAAAAGGCCGAGTACAAATTTTACCAAACTACCCACATACATATGGAGTGTTCTTACAAGTCAGGGAGGGGTAGGGATTAGTTTGGAGGTTTCGATGTCCTGTTGTATGGTTTAGAACAACACTCTCCACATATAAATTTGTTAAGTGTCCTGATAAGGTTTATATTCAAAAGGTCCCGGGCATGACCACCGTACCAACTTCAAAAGAGAACAACTTAGTGATTAGCAAGATTCTACATCATTTGAATAATCTCGAACAATAACAGAAATTTTCAGAATAATTTTACACCGCGACATGTTAAAAACTTTTCAATGCACCATTGATAACAGAACGACGACACCACGTTCCTGTAGTTTACGTTTCAATGATGCATCAGAAAGCTAAACTTCTACGTCCTCCTTCTGCTCTTCTTGAGAAATGTCAAAAAGTTGCTCCCTTGCGGTGACTTCTTCTTCAGTTCACTGCCTCCAAGCTTAAAAGTATCCTGCATGGGGTTGAATGATAATTGAAATTAAGCTTCTTCTGTAAAAATTTTCTTTGCTAAGAAAAGATCTCTGAAATCTGTCGAACAAAAATCAGAGAATTCCTTATTTATTTTCTTTTTTTTTTCCCCTTAAAAGCTTCAAACCTTTGCAGGGGAGCCAAATGAAGGATTAGACGGCTTTAATAGCCGTAAAGGGCTCTCAAATACAGGGGGAACAGTAGTAAGCTCGGTCCCTGAAAGAAAAGACGCTATGAAGTGAAATACTAAAAAGTTCATTAGATTATGAATCCGAAAAGTCAAAAAAACTATCTCATCTTAATTTTAAGCTCAAACCAGGTATCTTACCCGAAATCGAGTAGGTCACTGGGGGCTTAAAAATGATGTTATCATTCAATACTGGCTTGATAGATGCAGCTTCTATTGACTGATCTTTCTTACAAAGGCTGGTCTCAGGCATATTCGAACCGATGGCATCAACCCTGTGTCCGTGTGTTTCAATTCACTAGATGGTGCAAATATGCCTTCTGGCTTATAAAACAAAGTGTGCAGGTATGAAACTGGCACTAAGATTACCTTGAGGCATCCCTCCCCTCCTCAAGATTCTTAGCCGCTGCGCGCGAGTTGAATCACCGCATTAAGTTTTTGGTTTAGTATAGTTAATTTGTTAATGTAAAGTTTATAGATACATTCAGGTTTTACTTTGATTTTCTCCCCGTAACTGAAGAAGATGGTATTCTTTTTGACAAGGAAAAAAAAAAGCATGGAAAAGTACTTACATGGTGTTGTTATATAGTGCCGATGATGCCTAGTGTGCTTGGCGCTCAGCAGAAGAGAAGAGAGCTCTAGTCTGAAGGCATATTGCTGACATGTGAAAAGCCTCTGATTCAACAATAGACGTAGGTTAGATGTATCTCATGTATGTACGTAAGAGGCTGCTACAAAAAAAAAAAAAAAAAAAAGTAAATATCATCCTGAGAAACCCTATTAGCATCAAATAAACCAAGTATATCATTGAATGACGTATATTAACAATTAGAGAGAACACAGGGGTTCATTTAAATATCTATTACATCCCATGTCAAATTTACTTCAATTTCCGAACAGTACTCTAGAGATGGGCCATTATAACCTGTTTCAAGCAATCAATCCTTTGCTCAGCCTGTGAGATCCTGTTATTACCATAAACTCTCTGCTCAAGGTTCGAAGAAACGGTCCCAAGATGATCGACGACAGTCACAACTACCTCGCACACGTAACTCTTTGTATTCTCCAAGAGTCTATCAAGCAACGAACACGCATCGACATTACAGATCTTGTCCCCGTAAAGAGCGTGTAAAGATGTGATGAAGAAGAGCAACTTACATCTTCCTTTTATCAGTTTTCAGGAAAGCTTTTTCACAGTAATCAGCAGCATTGTAGAGTTGCGACCTCAAATCCTTGAGCTCCTACACTCGGAACAGTAGACAAAATTATCACTTCTGGACTCACTGCTGAGAATCCTAAAAAAAAAAAAAGAAAAAAAATCAAGTTTGAGGTAATGTTATCTACTCTCAGAGATCTATTGAATCGATCGACGTCTGGCTCGGGTTCGGGGTTTTGAAGAGATGGAGATTTGAACGGCAACGGCATTGTGCGCAGCATCAAGGCTTCGTTATCCTTCCCCCATTTCTTTGTTCATACTTAGGAGATTGACGTGAGCTTCAATGAAAGGTATGGAAGAGATCGATACGGACAAAACAAAAAAACGTTTCTCATTCTCGTGAACTTCTTTGAGAGATTATATAGAAACAGACGAGGATAGTTTTTATTGCCAGTGACTCCAAAAAATTCTAGCACACATGCACGAGGGAAGTTAACGACAGTATAAGATCACATGTCAATAGTTTCAGATGTTTTGTCATTTTCGTTAGGGGGGAAGGGAGGACGGAGCTTTGTTTCAACCAGAATTTGAGAAGTTTGCCAAGTGAAGTCGAGGGCTTGTTTAGATTGTTGGGAAGGTGCAATTTCAATTGTATTTTATTTTGGTTCTAAAAATCATGATATATTCTAATTATTTCTCGAAGCACGGAAAAGCCTTGGAGTATAGTACATTTGTTTGAATCCTAGCATTAATTGCACAAGTCATTATCATAGGTCCCAATGGTAGTTTTGAAGCAAAAATGATGTATGATATTCGGGTTATTTGCATATACACTCTTTAAATCACGGGTTGCAAAATTACCCTCTAAATCCTAGTATCTTTGAAAAAAAAAACTATCCCTCGGACCTATCAATTATCAACTTTAATAGGCTACTTTGCAACCACAACGTGAACTTTATCAATAAAATAGTAACATTTATACTCATCAAGTTAATGATTTATTGATTTTAGTGTTGATTTGAGGGGTAAAATTGCAAATACTAAGATGTGGGGGTAGTTCTGCAAGTAACTATGATTTGAGGGTGGGTGGGTGTGTGTGTAAAATAACCCTTTTTAGGCCATGTTTGGGTTTCAATAGGATTAAGGGAAGTTAACGGAAACTACGAGAGAGAAGAGAAGGAAAGGGAAGGGAGTTCCCTTTCTCTTTATTACGCCCCTATTTGGGGTAATAAATTTTATGTTATTAGGGGGTGAACTAAGCGTAACTAGGGTGAATAACTTCACCTCCTAAATGTTCTCAAACAAAACGAATGGTTCCCCTAACTTTTCTTCTCCCCTCAATCCAAACAAACCTAGGTTAAATGAGAGAAAGAAAAACAAACTTGGGAACTGTCTACGAGCTATTTTTCTAAGTAAAAGAAAAAGATTTTACTCTTTTCAATATAGTAATTCTTGGCATATTAACCAAAAATTCAAAAGAACCTCATCTTTTGAACTTTTTACAGATTTTGAACCAAAGTCTCTAGGATGATATCTATTGCATTTGTTATTTTGAGTGTAATATGTGGTAATAAGAGTTCTTACTACTTTTCAATTTAAGAGGGTGTTTGTCTACTTGCAACTGAGTTGAAAGTATGAAAGTGACTTTTTTTTGAAAGTGCGAAAATGCATCCAAGTCAGCATACAAGTGACATACATTGTTTGTTTGCAAAAACAAGTTATTGTTGAAAGTAAAAAAGTGAAGATGATGTGGCAATATTATTTTGTTTATTTATATATTAAAAAACATGTTTTTTAAATCACTCTCATTCTCTATTTACCATTTTGAACCATATCTAGGACTGAGATCATGTAGTCATCAGCACTAATTTAACAAAATTCTCTATTTACCATTTTGAACCATATCTAGGACTGAGATCATGTAGTCATCAGCACTAATTTAACAAAATAAATAAAACCTAAGACATATATACCCATGAGATCATGTAGTCATCAGCACTAATTTAACAAAATAAATAAAACCTAAGACATATATACCCAAAACTAGGCAATCATCATGGATAGTTCTAGTATAATCTCATTGGCAAAATTTCAGCAAAAAAGAAGTTCTTGGTATTATTAACATTATGATCAAATTATTTTTGTAATACTTGCAAATGGAGATGAGAGAATCACAAGAACACCCAAGCTACAAAATGTAAATAACCCAATTATTTATTTTCAATGAAAACAAATATCAGTGACATATTTCAAACTACTGTTGCAACAAAAAATGATGAGAATAGTATTCAAAACGCGGGGGGAAACAGTGGGATTAGTACTATGGAGGTAAAAAATAAAAACAAAAAAAATACAGCTGGAAGAGAAAAGTGGCGTGAGAGAAAAATTAGAGGACAGGAAATATTATTGAAGATGAAACAAATCTGATATATTAATTATTATAATATTTTTAATATAATGTGGTCCCCACTTTTCACTTTCATAGCTCACTTCTGCATTTTTTAAGGGGATGTTGAAATTGCAAAAAATCTAATGTGAACTATATTTTGGATCTCACTTTCACTATCACTTTCAATAAAACAAACAAGTGAAGTCTCAAGAATAAGTGACTTTCATACTTACAATTTTCACTTACAACTAAACAAACACCCCCTTATTGTCTTAAGAAAGTAATCAGACCCCCCGGCTAACAACAACCAATCCACATCCAATAACCAAATCTTGCTTCTAAACAATGTTATCCATTAATTAATGATTAGCAAATACCAAATAATCATAATAATAATAGCATAATAAAAAAGAGCTTTGCTACAGGACCCAAAATATGGGACCAATAAGGAGAACAAGTGAGGTGTCCTCCTCCTATTGGATAATGAGTTGACCATTATTAATAATTGTCAACTCATTATCCAATAAGAGAGAGATCACACTTGTCCCCTATATTAGTCTCGTATTTTAGGTCATGGAGGAATTTTTTAATAAAAAATAACCCCCCACCCCCACCGATCTCAGACCACAAAATTTTTGAATCCCACACAAACAAGCGGCAGATTCAATCCCTCCGAAAAAAGTTCAGTGCTCAGGTACCGTACACGTGTCCATCAATTTCGGGTTTTACGCGCAAAATCTGCACCCAATAAAAGGGAAAAGAATGGAAACGAAAAAATTAGAGCGGAAGCTCCAATTTCGTATCAGTTTTTCCCCCTCCCTCAGAGTTGTGGGGGGAAGATGTTGACGTGATTATTCGTGATTTTGTCGTCGGCGAGCTTCGAATTCGTTCACGCTTTGGAAAATGACGGGTTCGATGGTGGATCGAGCGACGACAGATCTCTTGATCGGTGCCGATTGGGCGATGAACCTAGAGATCTGCGAGACTCTCAATCGCGATCCTGGGTATGAAATTATTTAGCTTAATTCTTCATTTATTTTTTGTATGTGTTGGCTTCAATTTGTTTGGGTGTTACTTAAGCTTATATATGTTTGTTACATGTTAGCATTTTGGAATGGCATTAGTTTTATTTGGCTCGAAAATTCAGTAGTAGTTGATATAAGAGCAAGTGCAGCAAGCTCCCAGTTGGGAGTCCTAGTCAGCAAGCTCTCAAGAGTTCTCAAGCATTTTAGAATAAAAAATTAACAAATTAAGTCTTGGGAGACACTCCTTCTTTTATGGAGCTCCAACAAGCTCCTAGTTAGGAGCTCCAACAATATTAAAAAACCCTTCTTCTATTTTCATAACTCAACGGTAAGAAATTTTTTCACTCAATGGTTCATTTTCTACCCTCAACGGTTTATTTTTTTCACTCAGTCTCATTTATTACACTCAACTGTTCATTTTTTCACTCAACTGTCATTTTCATTGTGAATAAATTCCTCTCAACAACGCCAAATCCCCAATTAAAAAAATAAACTTCATCCTCTCCCTTTGACAGACAACTCCACCCCCAAATCCTTTCCTTCGACCGAACCCAACCCCAAATCATCTCCGACCCGACGCAACCCCACCCCAAATCCACTTCGCCGCCATCATCTCCGACCCGACCCGAACGCCGCCATCATCTCCGGCGTCGGCATCGTCATCATCGTCGCCGACACCCCAGTCGGAGGCCTCTTCGCCGCCAGAATCATCCCTGCGCTCCACAAACTGGTAAGGGGTAGTTTTGAGGGGGAGTTTTGTAAATTTTTGGCAGTTGGGAGCTCCCAAGCTCTCCACAAATTTGTGGAGCGCTTGGGACCTCCCAAGCTCTCAATGTCCACGTCAGCCACATAGGCCTTGAGAGGGGGCGCAAGGAGCTCCTTGAGAGCTTGCTGGAGGACTTGCAAACTTGACTTCCGTCACATAGGCCTTGAGAGGGGACGCAAGGAGCTTGCTGCCCTTGCTCTAAACATGCGTTCTTTTGAACTCCTCGCAGCAATTTTTTTTTGGTTTTCGATCAGGAATTGACATATCATTGCAAGGAGAAATGTCAATGTTCATGGGTATGAAGATGGAGATATTTTGATGCGGATGTCCAATATGGATACAATACGGAATAAATGCAGCATTTATCGGAACACAAACATACAACGGAGTAGGAATAAATCAATGGATACATCGTTCGTCTATCTATACATTGTGCTAGTTTTAATAGGAATGAGCCCACATTTACCCTTACAAAATACTGTAATGTTTGTGAATTAACAGGGGAGCTCATTAAGCCCATGTCCTACAAAATACTGCAGGTGTTTATAAGTTAACTAGCATGGCTTCTTGCTTCATATAAAATAAGATAATCCACATATAGCATCAAGTTACAGAAATTAAGTCCAAAACTGATAAAACAAGACAAGGGTAAATTACACTAAAACCCCCAAGAATTATCAGTATTTTGCGGTAAACCCAATTGCAAAATTACCCCCAATAAGTTCCACACTTTGCAGATAACCCCCCATGATGGTGTCAGTCCACATTTTGTTGGGGGTTTAGTGCGATTTTATAAGTTATTAGGGGTTTACTACAAGAAGCTGAAAGTTCTTGGAGTTTACTGTATCTTGATTCATCCTGGTTGTATCGCTGTTATTTTTTATTTATACTAAGCAGTCAAAAAATTGGTGACCATCTAGTTTCCTTATTTATCTAGGATCCTTTACATTCAATAAGGAAGCATACACCCTCCTTGTCATCTGAAACACTTATTTGTTTTGACTACCGGGAACTGCTATACCAGTTTTCAGCTATTGTTCGTACATATTTCACAATCTATTTTTTTGAAAAACACTACAGGCACACCCTCTGCCACACCTCCGATCACACCCCCTCTCCCTCTACAGTGCAGGGGGCCCTACCTGAGATTTTTAAAAAAATCTCAGGTGGGGCCCCCTGCACTGTAGAGGAAGAGGGGGTGTGACCGGAGGTGTGACAGAGAGTGTGCCTGTAGCGTCACCCTATTTTTTTTCTACCTCTCATCATTTTAACCATGGCTGTCCAAAGCTTTCCATGGTAGCAATATTTTCTTATTAACTGATTTAACTTTAAAATAATCTCAATCTCAGAGAGGAGTCTCTCTCTGTGAACTAGCTCAATGACATTCTAAAATTGGTTGAAAATTATAAGAAAGAATACATGCAATGGCAGAGTCGAAGTTACATTTTCTTGGGTTTCTCTGTGTCAATCTTCTTTCAAAAGTTTATAACAGGACACCTTCAAAGGTATAATTTATTTTACATAAAGAATCAATAACCTCAACTTTCAACCTGGTGGGTCTCCAGTTGAATTGCATCTCTAGTGCTCCTTCAAAGTTTTCGAAAAGTGATGCTAAAGTTAACTAGATACAGTATGACGTTTCAACATCTTAGATGTTACACCCTACCAAATGATACTGTTGTGCGCAGTGCAACCAGAGGAACACACAACCGCAAATGAGATTGGAGAACATAAACAACAACCAAAACAATTATTGTTGGATTTAAATCTAATTAAATCTATTTGTGGACACATATGATTAATCATTGTGTATTATTATCTTTAAGGATAACTCACTTAAAGTGATCAATCAATTGGGTTAATGGATATTTAAATAATCATGGGCTAAATGTGCAGATACCAGGTTGTAATTGTAATTTGATGAGGGGCCAAATTACAAATGTACAACACCTATATATATGGGGTTATGGTCCTAATCTAGGGTTAGCCACTCTCATTCTCTTATCCCCATCAAAGAGATTCTAAAGGGAGAAACCCTAATATCAGAAGATCACAAAACCCTAACTTAGATCCAAACAATGGATTCAGGTATAAGCTTCCGTTCTTAATGTTTAATCTCTATGATTTAATCATGGTTTAAATCTAACAAGTGGTACCAGAGCCACCCGTGATTAATTATTAGGGGTTTAAGATTCTAAAAATTGGGTTTTTTTGTTATCTTAATCTGTGATTTTTCAAAATTGTTCACGGATGAACAGTAAAAGGTTCGATTTTGTTTGGTTTTTTCTTTTGGTTTTTTGGATCTATAACATTCATGAACTGTAAAGTTCAACTCTTTTTGGTTTGATTCCATTCTTGAGGTTTGGATCTGAAATAGATTCAACTTTCAGATCTAGATTGTGTTCAAAATCAAAAGAAAATTGGGTTTTTTTTTGTTTTGGTTCTTTGTTCTCCAACTGCTCGTCGGAGTTGTATCGACGACGGTCCCACTATCAGTGGCGGCGGCGGTTTTCAGAACGAAACTCTAAGAGGTGTTCGTTGGCTACAGTTCAAGCGGCGACGGTTCAGTTCTAAACCCTAACGGGTGAAAGAAAACTTAGGACTTGAGGACTTACCCGTTCTCAGGCGAACTTCGGTTTGATTCTAGCGAACTTCAGTTTGCTTCTGACAAACCTCGTGTTTGATTCAGCCTTGTTGAAGGCTTCTGAGGAACTTCAGTTGAACCCCGTGTTCTAACTCCTGGCGAACCTCGTGTTTGAATTTCAGTGAACCTCCTGTTCAAATTTCAGCGAACATCGTGTTCGAATTCAGTGAACCTCGGGTTCAACTCAAGTGAGCTCAAACCTCGTTGTAGGTGAGCTCGACGTTCGGATCTCAGGCAAATCTCGGGTTCGAAATCGAGCCTCAGATCTACTCGAGCTCCATCTACTCATCAGGGAACTTCAGGCGAGCTCTTCGAGGGTCGAGCTTCGGCTAAGCTTCGGCTTGGAAGCTTGACCTTCGTCGGCTCATTTGGGAAGTTCAGACAAGTCTCGTGCTCGTCTTCAGGCAAAGCTCAACCCTCAAATCGAGCGAGTCTCGTGTCCACTGCGGTCGAGCTTCGGCCTCTCCTCTGACGCGCTTCAGTTTGTGTTCGGTGTAGGGGAGAGTCGGCAAAGCTTTGTTTTTATTTGGGGCATACCGTTTTCTTTCACGACGAGTGGAAGAAGAAGCTACTGATTAAGGGTTGAACAAGGACACAAGCCCACTTAAGCTTCTTAATTTTTTTGTGGTCCTGGACGTATTGAAAACTCAGCCTCAACTAGACCTGAGCATTATTGAAAACTTATTGTTTCAATTTTGTAGGCCTGCCAAATTTAAAGCTTGGTTTAATTAAATATTTTAATTAAAACCTAGCTTGTGGGCCCTTTTAAGTTATGGGCCCAATTTCAGTATGCTTAATTTAACTAATTAAGCAATGAGGCCCTAATTAAGCTATTAAAATTTAAATTAATTTAATTTAAATTTAATCCGGTAGTTAATCAATTATCAATTATTTAATTTAAATAATATGACACCGAGGTATTAAATTTTGTCTCTCATTCCAAATAACTAATTGAAACAAGATGTTGTCAATGTAATCTCTCTTGTGTAGATTGTTTATGAGGGATGTTAGATGATTGTGTGTATGTTTTCGTGTAAATATTTAATCATCCAAAAGGAAGGTTAATATTTATTTAGACTGTATACACATCTGCGATGATAAATGTGTGACAATTATAAGGTTTACATGTGAATAATGAATCGATCCAAATATAATTTCATTATTTGGCATGAGTTAATGTCAATGTTTGATTATTGCAACAAGGTATCACTTACAAGTTAATATTACTGTCCAAAGACTTGATATTAATGTTGTGCCAAATATCTTAAGATGAGATTTGTCATTATTTGAATTTTATTGATTACTAATTACGGTTAATAATGTAAGTATCTTTTGTTTATTTCAGCTAATGCATCTGCTGTAATAATTTCTGCTAACATTAATTCGATTCTCATGCTCAATGGGACTAATTTTAAGGTTTGGAAAGAGAACATATTAATTGTTCTTGACTGCATGGATCTAGACCTTGCATTAAGAACTGAACAACTCCAACCTCTCAATGCGGATAGCACTCCTGATGTTAAGAAGGAGTATGAGAAATAGGAGCGTTCAAATCACATGAGTCTTATG